TATTTACTATAGAGTTACTATTGTCCTTCTCTTCTTTGGAGAACATGGTGCAATTGGTGTCACAAGGGCGGGGTTCCATCATACTTGTAGATTTGTTCTTGTTCCCCGGTGTTAAGACTTTATACCAATCCTATTCCTGACATTCATTAGCTATATGACTGCAATACCTGTAGTCTTTAACTCATAATGGATCTCACATAATGTATGCTTGCTAACTTTAGAGTGTTATAGAAATGTCTGTTGGTATTATTGTTATTATAATTATTAAACTAACAAAACTGTAAATTTGGGGAAATATTTTTCCCAGAAGAGCAGGGACCAGTCAAGACAAAGTTTTGACAATGTTAACAAGAGAATTTGGTTTCTCCTGATCCAATCAGGCTCAGCTGGGATCATTCAAAGATTTAGTTTTAATTGCAGCAGCTTATTATGATCATCAGGTTTAGTAAGTCTAACTGGCCAACTCCAGAAACCTTTGTCAAACTGATGGACAATCCTTATGGGACTTACCTCATTACTCCATTCAGTCAACATATACTAAGCATTTACTACATGCCAAGCACTTTATTAGGTGCTGGAGATACAGAGACTAAAATGAAACAATCCTGCCTTCAAGGAGTTTACATTCTACTGGAAGGATACAAAATGTCTCCATAGAAAGAGAAAGAAGGTATATCTTGAATAACACAGAATTATTTCAAGAGTGCTGGAACATAAGTGATTAGAAGGAATCCAGAAAGGTCATGCAGGAGGAGGCAACTAAACTAGGCTTTGAAGGAAGGTCAGAGTTTTAAGAGACAGATATGAGTGGGGAGCACATTCTAAGCAGAAGGGAAACACCTGTGCAAACTCAGGATGTAGGAGAGGGATGTAGGCTTATATGGAGAACTTACATGGGTTAGCCAGTTTGAACAGGAAAGTGTATTTAGTAAGACTGGGAAGGTAGGTGCAAATTTGATTGTACAGAATCTTAAATGCCAAGTGGATGAATCTATATTTTGTCCTAAAGGTAATGGAATTTATATGTATATCAAAACTATCCATATGCTCAGAATCCATAGAATCACAGACCTAGTCAGCAGCGTAGAGATCATGCAGTCTGATCCCCATTTTGCAGATGGGAAAACTGAGAATTTCTAGAAATAGGTAGAAAAGTCAAAGACAGAGGTTGTTGAATATGCGTGTGGGCACTTGTGTGTGTGCGTGTGTTTCTCTGTACGTATATGTATATGTTGTGCGGTGCTTTTATTTTGCATAACTAGAAACTCAAACTTTTCTCATTCTTTGCATAGTGATGATGCACAATGTGATGCCAACACGAAGGAATTCTGGGTAAACATGCCAAATCTGATGACTCACCTAAAGAAAGTATCTGAGCAAAAACCGCAGGCAACATATTATAATGTGGACATGCTCAAATATCAGGTAAGATACGATTGTCAGGGTAAAGACACCTCTTCCAAATTGCCAACTCCTACCTGTCTAAAAGTATGGAATTCTAAGTGAAATGGCCCCTCTCTCCCTCAACATCTGATCCAAGAAACAAAACATGGAGGAGCCTCTCAGAACTGGAAGGGTGCTCAGAGCTGTCTCTGCCAACTCCCAAGCCTGACCAGGATTCCCCTCAACAGCATGCCTGTAAATGGTCATCCAGGCTCTGGTTGAAGACCTCGGCCCATGCCTCTCAAGGCAAGCCAATCCCTTTGGGGCCATCCTCATTGTTAGGAGGGATTTCCCCCCCTGATTTCAAGACCCAATTTGCTTCTTTGGTACATCTCCTCATTGCTCCCAGTTCAGCGCCAAGGCTAATCTCTCTTCCATGTGACAGTCTTTCAAACACTTGAAGCTCCTCTCCGCTCTGGTCTTCTTTTCTCCAACATACACCTTCCCATGTTCTCCAGATGATCTTCAGATGCCATGCTCTCAGGCCCTTTGATCCCCTGACTGAGCTCCTCCAGACACACTCCAGTTTCTCCATGTGTCCCTTAAATGTTGGTACCCAGAACTGAACACAAGATTCCAGATATGGTCTGAGCAGAGCAGATTGGGGGAGGGGGATCCAATCACCTCCCTAGGTCCCTCACTGTAACCAAAGATCACATTAACATTTTTTTGCTAAATAACAAAAATAACTAACATTCATATATATTTCCATGTCTACAAAATACTTTACAAATATAATTTGATCCTCAAAACAACCCTGGGAAGTCAGTATTCTCATTATCCCCATTTTGCAGATATGAAACTGAACCTCAGAAAGTATTGCCAGCTAGTAAGCAGCTGAATCAGGATTTGAACTCAAGTCTTTCAAATGTCAAGGCTGACACTATACCACACTGCCTTTCTAAATGACATATTTCTATTGTTCAGTGTTAGTAAAATTCAATAGGGAAAAATACAGTCTTATGCCTAGATTCAAAAAAATCAACTTCCTAAGTATAGGAGGAAGGAAGTATGGGTAGATGCCAGTTCAGTGGAAAGAGAGCTCTGGGCTTTGTTGGACTGATCAGTGGGATATGGAAGCCACAGAGGCTCATGCAATTGATCTTGGGTAGCAGGAAGTGAGGCAGGAAGACAATCTGCCTTGGTCAGACCTCATCTGAACTATTACGTTCGGTTCTCAGAGCCACAATTTAAAAAGAATATCGATGAGCTGGCCAGCATCCACAGGAGGGCAACCAGAATGATGAAGGAGCTTGAGCCCGTGTCGTGGAAAGATTGATTGAAGGAACCTAGAAAGTGTGTGCTGGAGAAGAGACGACTGGGGGAGAAAGGGGGCAATGGCTGGGGTGAGAGAAACCTGGGGAGACATCATAGCTGGCTTCAAGTATTTGAAGGGCTGTCATGTGGAAGAGAGATGAGATTTGTTCTACTTGGCACCAGAGGGTAGAGTCAGAAGCAATGGGTGGAAGGTTTGAACAGGAAAGCTTGGGTTCAGTGTGAGGAAAAGCTTCCACAGTTAGATCTGTGGCAAAGTGGAATGGGATGCTTTGAGAGGTAGTGGGTTCCCTGACCTTGGAGGTCTTCAAACAGGCTGAATACCGCTTGCTTAGTAGGTTACAGCAAGGATTCCTGTCAGGTATAACCTGGACTCAGTGGCCTCGGAGCTTCCTGCCTTCTCCAGATCTTTGGTCCTATGAAAACATTCCAACCCAGTGGTTTTCATCCAGGGACTTTTTCTAAACAAAATCATGTTCCAAAATCTTGGAATCTGCGAATTTCTCCCGAGCAGATCCTTGCAATTTGGAGGATGCCAAGGAATCAGAATGTCTGTGAAAGAAACCTCCATCCTCTTTGTTTGTCTTTGGGCCAGGTGTCTGCCCAGGGTATTCAGTCCACTCCGCTGAACTTGGCGGTGAACTGGAGGTGTGACCCAGCGAGCACCGACCTACGCATCGACTACAAGTACAACACAGACGCAATGACCACCCCAGTCGCCCTCAACAACGTCCAGTTTCTCGTCCCCATTGATGGTGGAGTCACCAAACTTCAAGCGGTGCTGCCCCCTGCTGTTTGGTAGGGAAGGACCAGGTCCTATAGAACCTTTCTACAATGCATTTCTTCTGCCAAGGGTCTTCCGCCTTCCTTCTGTGCTAAGATATCACAATGGTTCAGGAAAGAAAATCACTTCTTTGTGCTAGAAAGTCAAGGACACTGCAATCTAGAATCTGGCTGGGAATCAGACTCCAATTTCCCCAAGTGGTTGTAAAAAGCAGAAAGTAGAGCTTTTTAAGAATTTGGGCATCTACCTTAGTTTCATTCTCCTGAATCAGGCATTATGTTAATTGGAACTTTCCAGCAGCCGATGCCAAATAGGTGCTTTGTTGAGAATTATTGCCAAGGCAGGAAGGCAACATGACACGGTTGGGGTGGGGGGGGCGAGGGGTGTCCTCTGAGAAGGCCTGTGAGTCATTCCCCATCTAAGAAGACCTGCCTCTGACATGTACTGTCAAAACCTCAGGAAATGCTCTAATATGCAAAGTTTCAGCGCAGATGCCAGTATGCATTGGTAGAGGGTAATGTCATCCATGAGAATGCCTTATTCCAATGATATCATAGATCTAGTCTTCTTTTTTAACAAAAATATCATGTAATAGTAGAATAAAGAATTGTACTGACACACAGCTGGTGCTTAATAAATATCTATTGATTGATAGTATGTTGAACTTCAAGTCAGGAAAATGTGTGTTCAGATTCTATCTACCCCTTACCAGCTGTGTGACCCTGTGGAAAGGACATAACCCCTTTGGGCCTCACGCAGCTCGACTGGGGATTTATTTCCCCTCATTTCTTGAAGGCTGTGACAGTAGCCCAGGTCATTCCTCCCCAAGCTAGAAAAGTTCTAGCTAGGTACTGGCCCAGGCGGGATACAGGTTGGTTACCCAAGCATCATGTTGGTTAATTTCTGAAAGACTCAATACCAGGTTAGACACAGAATAGTGATCTTGTGATCCATAGCAATGCTGGAAGACTATCTACCAAGGACAGTTGTGAGCTGCATTAATGGGCAGGGACCCCATTCCAAATGGTGCCTGATTTGCATGTTAGAGGAAAAGAGGGGCTCCCTGAGGTAGAGGGAGGGAGTGTATTCCAGGCCAGAGCAAGAGAATGGAGACGGGAAGGGGAGCTTTATAAGTGTGGAACAGGAAGAAAGGGTTGAATCAAAGATTACAGAAAAGCGAGTGATGTCCATTGAGGCTGGAGAGAAGGGGCCAGGTTCTGAAGGGCTTTAAAATCTAAGCAGAGGAGTTTCTATTCTTTTTTCTGGAGGCAATAGGAAGCCACTGGTATTGATTGAATAGGGGGGTCACCTGATCGGATCTGTGCTTAGAAAAGATGACTGTCAACCACGTATAGAATGAATGAAGGAGGCAAGACTGGGGTGGGGAGACCAATTATTAGGAGTCTGCTTCAGTAAGCTAGGGGAGAGGTGATTAGGGCTAGAACTAAGTTAGTGGCTGTGAGAGTAGAGAGATGGATCAGAGGAGAAGGAAAAAATGGCAAGATTTGGCAACAGATTGAATGAGAGAGGAAAGGGGCCAAAAGAATGCCAAGGTGACCTGAGACACTAACTGGCTGCTGGGATCTGTAACAGAAATAGGGGAGTTTGGAAGAGGGGAGGGTCTAGGCTAAAAAAGAATGAGTTCGGTATTAAATGTGTTGGGGTTTAGATTTCTTCTAAAGCATAGAGTGTATCAGAATAGTTTCCTGTCTTATTTTAAGGAATACTGAACAGCAAAGAATATTGTGGAAGATCCCTGACATCTCTCAAAAATCAGAAAATGGAGGTAATCAATTTGTTTATTCAATAATATTGATAACACATTTAAAAATATTTAAGATTTGCAACACACCTTACATCCATTGATACCTTTGGTCCTCACAGCTTCAGGAGGTAGGTACTTTTTTCATTCCCATTTTACAAATAAAGAAACTGAGGCTCAGAGAATTTAAGCAACACGGTCAGAGTTGAACGGGATCAGAGGCGGTGACCAGTGAGACTCTTGTCTGCGTCATCCCATAAATTTGACAGAAGGCAGGGGCACCCAAGGAGTTCTCGGGGCTTTACTTACTTTCCCTCAACGCAGTATGGATGCCAATGGCTCATGTGGGCTGTCCACATATTAAAGAGCTCTGGCTCCAGAATATGAGCATCCAGGTCAAAATCCTACCTCTGATATTACCTGGGTGATCTTGGGCAAGTCACTGGACTTCCTTAGGCCTCAGTTTGCTCATTTGTAAATAGGGGATTGGATTATTCAACCTCTAGGTCTATTATTCTATGTATGACATTGGGAAAAATCACTCATCTCCCTGGGCCTCAGTTTCCTCATCTGTAAAGTGGCCTCTGAGGTCTCTACAAGCTCTAGTACTATGGTCCTGTGGTCTCTCTTTCTGGCCTATAATCTGCCATCTTCTCTGGCAATCATGGGGAGTCACCTGCACAGATTTGGATACCCTCCCATACCTTCTCTTCTCCTCTCCTTCCAAAAGATCTGAAATAATTTTTAAATAGTTAATTATTATCCAAAGATATCTATCACCAGATATAAAAAGTCCTTACCTTCTGGTTATCTGTGTCAGCGAATAAAAAGTCCATCGTGTTTATCTTTTGGCTTATTCCTTTAACGGATTCCTCTCATCCCAGACATCCCTTCTTACCCCCCCCCCCCCCCCCAACCCTTTTCCCCCCCCCCCCCCCCCCCTTCCCCTTCCCCCCACTCCCGATAAGAGACAATCTTCTAGGCAGAGAAGAGCTCTCAGGCTAACGTGTGTCTTTCCCATGTTTGGACACTTGCATACCCCTAGATCATTTTGATATTTTTAATTTTTCATCTGACTTAAATCTGCCAGTGGCAAGAAAAAACAACCTTCTCTGAGATAGCCTGCATGCCCTAAATTCTGCAGTGTGACTTCTGTGCGTCATGCATGCCCTCCTCCAGTGGCTAGGAATCTTTCATAATAAATGCTATTCATCATCGGTCTTGTAACTGAAATATACCATTTTCCCAACAAGTCAAGTCTTGCATTTTAACTGCCGAGTTCAACTTTAAGATTTATTATCCTGTCAGCGTAGTCATTACATTATTGCTTTGCTCTGCTAATAGGCTGTTATTTTTCTTTTGGAGGGGTGGGTTCTTTGCTGGCGAGATTCCAGTTATCCGAAGGCCCTAGCAAACCTTCTCCGTTGGTCGTGCAGTTTACCAGTGAGGGGAGCACCCTTTCTGGCTGTGACATTGAGCTGGTGGGAGCAGGCTACCGGTTTTCGCTCATTAAAAAAAGGTTCGCAGCAGGTAAGTGTAGAGGGTGGTTCTGACTATTTTATGGTTTTGAAGGTAGTGTGCCTGCCCGCATTGCCCTTCCTTCCTTTCACCAGAGGTAGTGGACAAAGATGTGACTCTGGAGCCAGACGGCCTGGCTTCGGATCCTCCTTCCAGTATTTACTACCTGAATAACCTTGGGCAAGTGAGTCATCTATCTTCCCGAGGTCTCAATTTCCGCATATGTGATGAGAACATTGGACTAGATTGCTGCTTGGGGCCATTTCTAGCTCTAGACCCCAGATCTTATGCTCTTTGGGAAATAAACAGTCAATGAGCATTTATTAAGCACCTACTGTGTGCCAGGTCCTATGCTAAGCACTGGAGAGAGAGACAAGAATGAAACAACTCCTGCCCTCAAGGAACTTCCATTCTACTGGAGGATGGGCAGGATAGGCGGTAACAGAATACAGATAATTCAATCCTACAAACTTTTATTAAAGGCTTATTATATGGCAATAGCTATGCTAAGCACTGGGTATACAAAGAGGGAGAGGAAATAAGCATCTCCATAGAGCACCAGGCACTGTGCTAAGTGCTTTTTACAAATATTGTCTCATTTGATCCTCACAACAACCCTTGGGAAAGAGATGTTATTATTGTCTCCATTTTACAGATGAAGAACCAAGGGGCAGACGGAGGTTAAGTGACTTGCTCAGGGTCACACAGTAAGTGTCTGACATTGGATTCTAACTCAGTTCTTCCTAACTCCAGGTCCAGCCCTCTGCAACGTGACACCAATTAGAAGCCTCTTTCAAACAGTTACCGCTTTCCAAGCCCTTATAATCTAATGGGAATGTGGGTCAGGGGAGAGAACATACACACACACACACACACACACATATATATACAGAACATATAAAACATGAATGCAAGGTAGTTTGGGAGCGGGTCTATTTCCTTTAGCAATCTCTCTGAAAATCCTGAATGGTCCCTAGTTTCCCTTCCTTATTTCAAGAGAGCCCAAGAATGGTCAGGTTAGGTCAAGAGAATGAAAAGAGTTTGGGTCCATTCTTGGTCCACTCTGTAGTCTTATAGAGGAGGCTCAATCAGACCTGGTGTCCCTGGGATCCTCAAGACCAGAGTTGACCAATATCCAGTTCTGATCCTCCAGGGTCGTTAACGGTGGAATAAATTTCTGTCCAGAAAGGACTTCCTGGCCTCTGATTCTCTACAATTTATCCTGTATATATGTTGTTCATACGTGGTTTTTTTGTGCATTATCTCCCCCTATTAGACTGTGAGCTTCTTGAGAGAAAGGATCATGGGAGGGGGGGAAGTGTTCATTTTTTGGTTTTGTCTGCCTTTATATCCCCAGCACTTACCACAGTCCCTGGCATGTAGTAGGCACTTAATAAATGCTTGTTGACTCAAATCTAAGTTGTAACTAGGGTTAGACAACCACTATTCCATTCCAGGATGCCTAAATTTACAGGGCACTGGAAGCCCTTCTTAAGCTCTTGTGCAGTGTAAACAACTGACCATAGCGCTAAGTGAGCAAGAGAAAGCTGCCAGTTGGGGTACTTTGTGCTCCCTGCTATATCCCAGGTGAGTTCTTCCTCAGCCTAAGTGCCCCTGTGCCTCCTGCAGTGACCTACCGGCAGTAGTTTCATAGTGTCTCAAATCTCAACCCCTGGAGGCCAGTATCCTGGGTCTCTGGCTCATGTATCATGGGATGGTATTCCAGAGTCTTTCCTTCAATGGGATAGTGTTTCCCAAGTCCCCAGTACCCCAAGTGAATTTCTTTTCAGAGGACATCTCATGAACACTAAATTTCCTAGTTTGGACTAATTCTTGGTTTGAGAGAGACTCACAAGAAGTACAACAGTTATTCTGAGAGAATTGAATACTCGATCAATTGTGTGTTAACATGTCGAGAGAAGAAAAGCTTCCGTATAATTACATTCACGTCTAGTCACGTATAGTGGGAAGGAGCAGGTACAAGGCTGGATCTGTGGTCATCTATAAGCCGCCACGTCTGTGGCCCCTCATAATCCCTCTTCAGACAAAATGGTGGTTGGTGACCTGTCCTCATGACCTTCTGTTTTTCAGGCAAATACCTGGCAGATAACTAACAGAACCTTATGCAAGCATATGGAGAGCCCATATCACGGAGGACTGTCATACATGGAACAGGTTTTTGTTTGGGGTTTAATGAAAACAAAGTAAAACCTGCCTTGGGGACATTTCTGCTGGAAGCGTCCATTACTTTCAGCGACCTTTCTCCCTCCGTGGACAACACCGTGTTGAGACCAGTCCCACAGTATTTACTTCTAGGTGTAACATTGTTAATGGTTTTAAAATGTAATTATTGTATTTGTAAATTGTACTCATTCCCGTAAGACTGTATTTCAGGCGGTTAGACAAACTTGAGTTTTAGCATTTGACCATTCACGAAATGGGTGTAATTTAAACTATGGTATATAAATTTACTAGTAGTCCTGTTGATTGGCACAAGGCTTACAGAAATAGATTGCATTTTGTCAATATATAAAGTTTAAATACAATACTGGTAGCGGCTTTCAAAGGGGGTGCCTCAAGCACAGAAGGATTCACAGCTTTCCTTTTCTCCTCCGGTCCTTACCATGTCTTATTCTATAGTGTGAAATTAAAAGTTCTACCTTCCAACATTTAGTGGGGTTCAATTTAAAAATATTTCAGTAAATTCTAAGGCTACAACATATTTAAAGAAGGCAAGATGTACCACTTTTTAACCGCTTTTTTTTCAAACTGCAAATTTCATAAAAATGCACGCCATATAAACAGGGCCTCTTATTTTTATAATATATAAAAAAGGGGATATTTAAAGTTAAAATTATGAAACTATGATTGAGATTCCAGAGGATGCTGGGATCTGGGTCATTTCCCTATACTCACCACCTCTCCCCCAAACTGGGCAGATATGGAGATTCCTGAAGAATCAGGCAGTTTTACTGTGATTTTAAGATGATGAGAATTTCTTGAGCTCTTTATTAAGGATTGCTACCTGATTGTGGATGTAACTGTTTCTGAAACTCTGCAGGTTGAACTGACCTGCATCGGTTGTTCTATTCCCCTACGTGGAGGCTGTCAGTCTTTGAGTGAGTTCTGAAGTCCCCTGCATCCATCTGATGGGAGAATGTTGATTTGCAGCTTAAAAGTCTTTTGGGGAACGGGGAAAACCAAGTCAGGCTGTATGGCTGAAGTTGTCTGAAATAAATGTCCTCTCCGATGAACAAAATGTTCTTTAAAAATCTGAATTACTGTAAACTAGAAACTCTTGCCATTCCTTTGGAACCAATAAGATGGGTGCAAGCCACAGTTCCTGTCATTGACCTCCATTGCCATGAGGCAGAAGGGGGGTGAGGGGATGCAGTCCTCTAACCCTGACCAGCAAAATGCAGGTTTCCATAGGAGAAATATTTCTTGGGATGCACTCCCTAGTAACTATTGTCCAGTCTTTCTATGGAAGAACCTGCCCTTCAACTCCTTGGCACACCACCCAGTTAGCATTTAAATACTTTTTTGGAGAGGTGGGGGGATCTGTATATGTTAGTTCATTGGTGATGGGTATTCCCCATGTGGATATTCCCTTCACTGATACTTCTCAGAAATTCATCATTCTTAGGCTTTATCTGGGGTGCTGAGAGTTTAAGGCCATAGTCATACAGTTAATATGTGTTGAAGGCAGGACTTAAACCAAAATCATCCTGGCTCCAAGGCCAGCCTTCTGTCCAATAGATTACACTGCCTTTCTCAGATACATACATACATACATACATACATACATACATACCCATATGTGTGTATGTGTGTATAGACACATATATGTATCTATACATACATACATAATTTTAACCAGATGTGATTTCATCAGTATAACAAACAACCAGTAAGGAAATTCCCTGCACCAGAGCAGGTCTGTACCTGCTCTGACATTGCCCATCTGAAAGAGTTTCCTAGAATGCTGAGAAGTTAAGGGGCTTCCCCAGGTTCACACAGCCAGGATGAGTCAGGGCATCTGAGCCCAGGTCTTCCTAACTCTGAGGCCTGTCCTCTATCCAGCAGACTTGTCCTAGACATATTGTCCTCATCCCTTCCTTACTCGCCTTAAAATTATAGGAATTCTGTTCTTGAACAGTTTTCTGCCTGATCTAATTTTAAAGTAGCTTTATTATCATATCCATTAATCAATTTGTTGTTGTTTTTTTAAACCATTCAATGCATTGACCTTTGGCACCCACAAATTTGGGGACCAGGGGTTAAACTCTATTAAGAAGACCTTCCATAACCTAAAACCACAAGAGGGAAAGTGTAAGCATTATTTTTGTTCGTACATGAAGGCTTTGATGAGTGTTTATGTGAACATGGGGAGAGGACAATGGGTTTCACTGGGGGAGAATTACTGCTGCCCTACTCACCATTGTCCAGAGGGTTAATTACCCATAATGACCTGGTGGAGACCCTAGAGTTACTTAGGGGCCCCTTGTCCACTTTGACAAATGGAATCCTCATTGAATTAAGGAGCTCAGAGATATTAGGGAACCCCAAATGTGGGAGTGAAAAGAGAAAGGAGGACCATGATTCTTCAAATAGCAAAGATTGAAACTAAGAGACAAAGGTCAGAAAGCAAGATATCTGGTAGGAATGGAACTACTAAAAGTGGCTAGAATAACCCCTCCATGAAAGACAGTTCACTGAGTAGTAACTCAGAAGGCATATGTGTAAATATTACTTTCTGTCTCATGACTTACTCTTTATATCTTACTTTACACAGCTCTAGAGTTAATTAAGTCATATAAACATATGGTAACTCTTTAAAAGGATGCCTTCATTTGTTGATATTGTAAAAATGTAATTTTTAAAATATATATGACAAGGATCCCTAATGAGATTCAGAATCTCTAGTTATGAAATTTTAAAGAATTAATATTGCCTACGATCCCGGCACCAGAGAATGGGAGTCATAGGCTTCTAAATACGCTAAAACCTCATATAACTAGACAAACCTTCCTCGCCCACCATTTTTTTCTTTCTTCTTTCCTCCCTCCCTCCCTCCTTCCTTCTTCCCTCCCTCCTTCCTTTTCTCCTTCCCTCTTACCTTCCATCCTTCTCTTTTTCCTTCCTCAAACATTATTACACATTTACTCTGTGCCAGGCCCTGTGCTAGGCACTGGGGGTACAAAGATAAAAATAAAAATAATCCCTGTCCTCAAGTAGCTTACATTCTACTTGAATTCAGCTTTCAGGAAAAAGAGACAAATTGCAGCAGAACTAGTTCATATCAGGGATTGAGGTGTGTGTGTGTGTGTGTGTGTGTGTGTGTGTGTGTTTGGGTGTATGCATGTATGTATGATTGTGTGTGTGTGTATGGATTTGTTTCTAATTGTTTGGTTGTTGTTTTTCAACTTTCAGGCTCAGTCTTGGCCTTAGCAAACACATAGTCCAACTTTCCACAACTCTGCCTATCACAGCATCAAACAAGAATTCATATTCAAATATTGCCCCTGAGGGATACTGCAATGGTCCTTAGCCACAAAAGAAGAATCAACCCATTGTTAGTGTCTGTGGCCAATTCCCAAAAGATTGTCAATAATAAGTGTCAGCTAGATCACCCCATTCCCCCAAACATCCCCATTCATCAAGACACCCCAGTATCTGATAGACAGCAAATGGCATTTAATGGATTTTAAGTGCTACATAATAATCTTGTCTCCCCTCTATGACAGAAAAAAGGTTTCTTCTTTTTTCAAACGAATTCCATGTTTTCATCATGAATGCTGTTTGAAATGGATTCTTATTATACATCAGAGTACATTTTATCTCAGTGAGTTAAATTTAAAATGAAGAGAATCTTCATTTTGTGAGTTTTTTGTATAGTGAAGTATATATTGAACTGTTCAGGTTTTATTCTTCTCTTACCGGAGCTGCAGTCTGCCCAAAGAGAAACTTACTGCATCACTTTGGGCGATATGCTGGGCTGATTAAAGAAAAAAAATATCTCTCTGTGCTCAAAGCAAACTAGTATAATTATGTAAGAACATCTCAGATAAAGTTAAACTTTAAGCATATATACATATTTATATTTAGGATAGGGACATGCATAAATCTATGTGTGTGTCTGTATACTGACATGCATCTCTGTGTGCATATCTGCACTCATGAGAGGCAATGGAGTTTAGTTATAGGTAAAAAGCTGGCCTTGGACATAGGAAGACCTGGGCTTGCTGTGCAAGTCTGGCGGAGTGACCTAACTTCTAACTGTCCAAGGCAGCTCTCACAGACTGTGCCCTGTAGAAAAGGTGCCAACCTGCAGTGACAGGGTATTTCCTTATCCAGGAGTTCCCTACACTGGGGGAATCTCAGGGCGGGTCTTTATTCCCTACCCATTATCTGCATATGCACATGCATGTGCATGTGCGTGTGGGCACACACACACACACACACACACACACAGGTTTGTGCGTAGATTATTTAAACAGGCTCCGAACTGCTCTAATTTGCTCTGCTGCTAACTCTTGCTGGGTATCTATGGAAAAGTGACTTCCCTTCTGAATATCTTAATTTCTTCCTCTAACATTTGGGGTGGGGATAGATTGTTTAAATCTAAATAAATTAAATTTAAATTGTTTAGAGATTTAAGTCATCTCTAAGGCCCCTTGCAGTTCTGAAATTCTATGATTCTTTGAGCTTTCTACTATTTTGAACACATTTTGTTCATTGAATGTTTGAGACTGTCACTGGCAACCAGGAAGCCCTGCCTGCCTGCCCGAATTGACTTACCTCCCTTTTAGCTCCCTGGTAAAAAGAGGATGGGGTAGTAAATGTCCACATCTTTTATGAAAACCCCAAACTCAAAGTGCTATGGAAAATTAATTCAATACGTCCCACTCTTAGGAGGAGGATGTAGGCAGAGCTGCCCCTCTCAGATTCCTTTCTGATCCTGACATTATGTTAGCCTAAGCTTAGACACCCGAAAGCCCTCAGACAGATGTCCCTTCTCTCAGATCAGCCTAAGCTTAGATGCCCAAAAGCCCCCAAAATAGACGCATCTTTTCTCAGCTCAGGAGCTAGATAGTTTTCCTATCTACTTAACTCTTCAAAAAGAAAGAAAGCCCTTTTTTGTCCTTTTTCTCATTCCTGCAGAAGTTCTTCAGGCTGTCTCAAATACGGGGTAGTCTGCCAATTCATTTCACGCTCAGGTTCTTTTCTTTGGGAAAGTCTCCTTCAGGACCTTGAAGTGATAGGAGGCCCCCAAGCTATCAGCTCTGTGGAGGATGCCGGGTCATAACTGTTCACCAAATTCTTAACATAGAAGGTTCAAAGTGAGGCTTTCTACATCACTGAAATGTAGTATTACAGACTTTGGAAGTGACGGTTTAGGGGGATGTTCCCAAGCTTGAATAGACTGCATGGAGAGAGTACCCATCCCCCCTTCCATTTCAGTGTTCTGCCCAACTGAATCCAAACACTTAAAGGTAAGCAGCCTTAGCAACGGTACAAGCATACAGGCTGTTAATGAAGAGTAAGCGTTTAAGGAGACAGAAACATTTCTCCTTTCCCAAAGACTGACAGCTTGTCTATCCTCAAAGCCGAATTCCATGCAAACTAGCTGTACTTAATTCATTCAGGCACTCATTCAATAAGCATCTATTAATGACCACTATGTACCACTTACTGTGTGGAAGGGGAGGAGAGTTGCCAAGACAAAAAAAAAAACCTGCTCCTGTCCTCAGAGGGTTATATTCTATTGTTTGTTTTGCTCTATAATCTCCAGGGCAAGAAATAAGCTCACATGAGTTTGTTTGTCAGGGATTCTTAACCTAGGGTTGGGAACTGGGGTTTTTTCATATATTTGATAACTGTATTTTCATATAATTGATTTCTTTTTAATCCTAAATATTTTACTTTATGTGTTTATGAGCATTATCCAGAGGAGGGGTCCCTGGCCTTCACCAGACTGCCAGCAGGGAGCCAGGACACTAGAAAAAAGGGGAAGAACTCCTGGTTTAAGTCCAGATGAATGGACACCTGTAAGCATGATTCACAAATAAACAAAAGGCATGAGCTATTTCCTTAAAAATAAGTCAGATTGGAATTAATTGGAAATCAGAATGAATATATTCATCCAAAAACAAGACTCTGAAATTCTGTGAATGCCTGTTAGGTGTCTTTGCTTAATCAGTCACTGGCAACCAAATGGGGGTTTTCCTTTTTCCCTCTGCAATACATGAAATTGTCTCTTAAAGTTTTGCACTACCCTTCCTTTCTCTTCTTGCTTACCTTGTCACCGGGTCACCTACTTAGCAAATAGTAACAAGAGAAAGCCTTCCTGCATTCGTGAATGGAATGTGGTCCTCAATGAGATGCTGCCCCTATCTTTAGATGATCTTGTGAGGAAAATGAGATTCATTCATGCACCCCTAAAGCATTTATTAAGGACCAAGAGAGTGCCTGACTCTATGCTCAGTACTGAGGATGCAAGGACGAAAAATGCTACAGTCTCTAGCCGCAAGGTGTTTGCCTCTTATGCTAAGAAGGTTGAGACCAGGAGTCAGTCACTCAACAGTCAGCTGGGTAGTGCAATGGATGGTGCACTGGGCTTAGAGTCCGGAAGACCTGGCTTCAAATCTAGGTTCAGATATTTACTATCTGGGTGACCCTGGGCAAGTCGCTTAATCCTGTTTGCCTCAGTTTCCTCTTCTGTAAAATAAGCTGGAGAAGGAAATGGCAAACCACTCCAATATCTTCACCAAATGGGAT